TGTGACTCCCTGAGTTAGATCTACCTCAGTATCCTCAGCCATTGATACCAACTTGGTGATGGATTTCAGAGCACAATAGCTGGGAACTTTGGTTCATTATGCTCCTGTGGTTAGAAGCCTGTGAAGCACATTCTCATTGCTTCCTCAAAATGTATATTTGACATTATTTTTGTTGCCATCAACATAACCTATTGCCAGGTGAATTATAAAGACATTCAAAATGTTTCTATTTTAGGTGAAGGGGATTAAGAGTAACTTACGTTGATGAACACGGAGTACTATATGGAACTGTTGAATCACTATATTATACACTGAGACTAATATAATACTGTATGTAAACTACACTAGAGTTAAAAATTTTTAAAAGTCTCTCTTTTAATCGCCCCTTCCTCCATGAATGTTAGACTCTTGAATAGGCTTAAAGATGGCACATGTAATGGACCTCTGGCTGGAAGCAAGATAAATCTCCTTCTGAGATATTTTCCATCTCAGAAGAGTTCTAGAAGCTATTAAGAAGTTGAGAGTATTTGAAGTGGTGTGAATAAGAGGTGGTACACACTTCAAGTTCCCTGGTAGCTACATTGCAGCCCATCTTTCTAAATCAAGAGATACTTAACTTTGCTCATAGATTCTCATATCTTTTCTAATCTTTGTTCATCAAATCTGGGTTACATTTCTTTTTAACCTAAAAAACACTGTACCCTTGGGCCTGAAAGAAAGAAGAGATTTTAGGAAATTTAAAATACCCATTTTCATCTCCCTGCCCCATTTCTGGTTCTTCTTAATTATGTCATAAATTAGAAAGTTTTTTGGTCTTAAGTTTAAGCACTGACCTGGCTTTGAGACCATTCCCTGTGTGTTGCATGCCAAGATGACATTCCTAGGATAGAGGCTGCTGCCTTTTGTGCTGATTTCAAGTGATAATTTAGTGCAAAGTTCTCTGGAGTCCTCCTTACTAATATAGATGGACTCAAGGCCACACAGCAATCAGTCCAAGAGCTGAACTCATCATTAGAAAAACCAGGAGCTCCTCAAAGCATCATTGCTAATAGCAAAATTACAATATACAGAATGTGTAATTCAGAACATACAACTTCAAAGTGCATACATTTTGGAATGATTAGAAACAGAATAATATTTTATGCTAAATCTAAATCATCTTGAGAATTTAATAAATTCAAGGGTACATGAATATGTCATAAAAACATGACCAAACTACCCAATGTAGGTTTTGAAGCAAAAAAACCTCTATGTTTATAGACAGGTGTGCATTTGCATTCTTTCAGAAGTTGGGCCTTTTTCCTCATCGAATACTCATTTTTTTTTTTTTGCTACCTTCTGCTCGTTTGTCACTCTCCCAAATTCTGTACAAGTGTCACTTCCGTGCTGCATTTCCACGGAGAATGAAGAGTAGAATGTGTAGGCTTTCTGCTGCACAATGAGATGGTGCATTTTTTCAACATATGCATACGTAAGCCTTCTTTTGTGAATGGGACTGATAGGGTCAGATAATGTTTAAAGGGAAAGGCTTTATGTCTCTCAGGCCTCTATGTTTCCACATGGATGCTCCCACACACACATAGATTGAATTATGAACAGACCCATTAATGCTGGGATCACAAAAGGTCAAGTTTTGTCTTCTTTTACCCCTATTCACATTGCCTTTGTAGAGAGAGAGAGAAAAAAAAGGATTTGCAGGAAAAAAAGATTCATGATGAAGAATTTTAAAGAGCATTTTTCCCCTTCTAGCAACATCTGTGATTTGAAAAAAAAATCATATTATGTAAAATAATTCAGGATTATTGTATTACCTACCCAATTTTGGTATATGAGTTATTTCATGTGTAGGGTTATCTTTAAGGGTAATATGTTATCATAATAACTGAGAACAAAATGTAGCACTTTGGGGATAAAAGACCTTATGAATATGTAAAGTAACAAAGTTTTAGTAAGATTGGATAGAAATTTTACCAAAATGTCAATGGCAGGATTCTTGATACATTTTTTCCTATTTTGAGATATGTTAATTTTTGCTAGGGCATCTTTTTTGATAGTTTTAACTTATTTTTTAAAAAAAACAGGTGATAATTGATGTAATTATACTTCACATACATTAACAGATAATCATGGGATGATTGAAAATAGCAAAAATGATAGAGAAATTTTTTGAAGCAACAAAGGATTCATAGCAAATGAAACTTTTAAGGCTTTAACCAATAACCCTTTAGAATGCAAATGACATCATCAATTGTATGGTTGGTTGATTTCTGATGTCACATGAAATCCCCTATCTGTGAAAGGCTATGGATTGTGACAGTAAAACCAGTCATGTATAAAAATGTTCTCAAATCAAAGCCTGAAATTCCATTTTTTTTTTTTTGGTGGCTCACTATAGTATAAAGTACAGTACATAAGATTGAAGAGAACAGTAATTATTGACTAGCATAATACATTGCATGATACTTAGTATACTTTAAAGACTACATAAAATTAAATCTTTTTGAATCATATGATGCTGGGGCTGAGGATAAGTTCAGAGAGGATCAGTGCTTTGCAGAAATGGCATCTGGAGTCTATGTAAGGCCTTTGGTTCTTGGATTTAAATTTTGTCAACTATAAGAGCAAGTCACTTCGCCTGTTTTGGTCTCTAATTTTGGTATGATAGATATTATTATCCATCATTTCTGAGGATAATACTGGAGGGTAGTGGCGAAGATTAGGCTGGAAACATTGGCTAATTTAATATTGGATTATTTATTATTTCTGTATTTTAAATGTTACAACTTTATAGTAGAATTAACAGTACTATGGAAAGCACAGAAATTCATTCCAGAAAGTAGAAAAGGTTTTTAATCTTGAATACCAAGCTAAGGAAGCAGGGAGCAACTGGAGGGTTCAATATGCTATTGGAGGTAGATTAATTCGGTGGAGGTGGCAGGATGAATTTGAGGTGGAGAGACCAGGGACAGAGAGACCACTCTGTAGGTGTTTTGGTACTGAGGGGGAAAGGATGAGGAGATGAGGGCTTGGACCAGAGTATTACTTGTAAGAAAAGGAAGGAAGGAGAAGAAATATATGAATTTGGAAGAAGGGTTGGCAAACTACAGTGGTAGGGCCAAATTCAGTCTATTGATTATTTTTCTAAATAAAGTGTTATTGGAATACAGTCACATCCACTTGTTACATGTTATCTGTGGCTGCTTTCAAAATACAATTGCAGGGTCAAACAGTTTTGATGGAAACCTTATGGCCCACAAAACTGAAAATATTTATTATCTGTCCCTTTTAGAGAAAAAGTTTGCCAGTCCTTAATGTAAGAGAAGGATTTTTTAAAGGGACTAGATGAGAGGAACCTGGGTGGCTTAGTCGGTTAAGCATCCAACTCTTGATTTCAGCTCAGGTCTTGATCTCAGGGTCCTGAGTTTAAGCCCCGCATTGGGCTCCATGCCTGGTGTGGAGCCTACTTAAAAAAAAAAAAAAAATTAAAGGGGCGCCTGAGTGGCTCAGTCATTAAGTGTCTGCCTTTGGTTCAGGTCGTGGTCCCAGGGTCCTGGGCTCGAGCCCCACATTGGGCTCCCTGCTCCATGGGAAGCCTGCTTCTCTCTCTCCCACTCTCCCTGCTTGTGTTCCCTCTCTCGCTGTCTCTGTCTGTCAAATAAATAAAATCTTTAAAAAAAAAATTAAAAAAAAGAAAGTAAAAAAATAATAAAGGGACTAGATGATTGATGACATAGGGACAAATTAAAGAGATATGGAAGACCAAAGAAAAATAGGAATCATTTAAATTAGCTTGTTTATATGCACATAATGCTTCTAAAGTTCTTGGGGAAAGCTAAATGTCATTAAAGTGTATGTGTGTGTGTGTGTGTGTGTGTATGTATATAACAATATATAATCTTGATAACAATATATAACAATATATGATCTTGAACTAACTAGGTAGAGTAGAAAAATTAATATTCAAGTTATATGGATAATAGTACAAATTTGCTTTCATTGACTTCTCGGAATCATCTGTAGAAGGGATAGAAATTATGGATAGAACATCAGAGTTGAGTACAGACTGGGACAAATACCATATTTTCAGTTGAAAGAGAAAAAGAGGATGAGATGTCTGTACAAGGGATACTCTTGGAGAAAGTTTTCCCATTTTTTACTATGGACATTGAAGTGAGACAGAGAATTTAGGTAGCAAATAATTTCAAATTTTTATCTGCATTATGTGAAGTAAGGGTAGGGATAGGAAAGATAGACTGAGAAAAACAATTAAAACTTGATATGCAGAAAACATCTAGATTTAAAAAAGAAAATACTATAATAATATAATGTGCACTAGGCACATTACTATAGGTTAGACATTGTGTCATTCATTCTGTAATCTTATTTAATTCTTAATATGATAAGGCTGTTATTATTCTTCATTACAGATAGGGTTTTATTACCTGCTCACAGTCTATAAGTCAGTAAATGGAAGAGCCATGATTTTTAACGCATTATTTCAAAAGCCCGTGCTCTATTCAAAGTCATTCATAATGCTAGATGGGTCTAATTTAATCACTTTAAGGGGCCACAAATAAAGTGAATTTCTGCTTTTAATCTCTTTTGGTCACTACCATATATCAACTAGTGTTTGTGTAAGAATCCAATCTATTAGAGAAAACATAAATTTACATAACACAGTGTTCATATAATAAAATTAAATATTGCCAGTAGTACATATATTGGATTAATTGAAGTCTTAGGAAGACTTTATTCTGTTAAGCAGTTTAGGAGTCCTTTGCAAACTTGTCAGGTGCCTGTTTCTTCTCATACCCAGAGACATTTTTTATTCAACATTTGTAAATGGCTATCTATTCCATATGAGTGAAGTGCAAAGGTTATAAATTTTCCCATAAATAAAATGAGCTGATGAAGGATGCGTATCTCTTCTGTTCTCTTTACTTGAAGATAGCTCTATACTCAGATTCTTATACTGAAGTCATTTTCCCTCCCATCAAACTAGGTACTCAAAGATCTAATAAGTGTGACATCAACAATTACTTCTTGCTAACAACCCTTGTAATTTAACCCCTTCAGGTGAGCAGGCTGATTGATGAATTGCAGACAGCTATCAAAAGTAACAGAGGTCATCTCTCTAAACTTGGCCCCCAATTACAGGCTGAGCAGGAGCAATTCTCCTCTTATGTCTACCAACACATTAAAAGCCTTCCAGCAAACACTCTTATCCCAGGAGACCTGCAGCTCAAGGTGGGTGTCATTCTGCAACTCTCACTGGGTTCAGCTAGAGATGAAAACACTCTGCTCCATTTGAAGACCCTTCTAACAATGCCACTCAGCTTGAATTTCTTTTAATGTTGTCTTTCTCAAACCAGAGTTTGGCTTACAAGTGCTAATACTACCATTCAGGGAGTATGCTTTAAAAGAAGAAACCTAGAGGCATTTGAAAAGTGGATTTATAAACTTTAACTGTTTTCAACTCAGAAAAGTAATTTTAATGAAGATATTTAATCATGTGAACATTGCATACTTTTCCAAGAAACATATATTTTTAACAGGAGTCACCCAGTATTTCAGTTTTAAAAAAATAACTTATTTAGAGAAATGGGAAAGGCTTTAATAATTGACAGACAGTGGCAACAGGAATTAGAGGTGAAAGGCCAGGTGACTGACTGATGTTCAAACTACATTTCCAAGGAAAAGGATCTGTATTGGATAAGTATGACACATATCTGAGTTCCCTTGGTAAAATCAATACTTAAGAATATACTGGGAAAAAAGGTGAATTGGTTATTTGTCGGGACAAGGTGGCTAAATGTCCTAGGCTACTTTTGCTGTTGCATCTCTGGAAGAGAAAAAAAGTAACTCATACTTGGTTAAAGTGGATTAAGTACTGAAAGTTACAGAATTTAAATACTTTTGTTTATCGTAATTGAGTATCCATGTTAAGTCTGTCAAGTTAATGTTGTTCTAATAATTTCACATCCCACATTTCGAGAGAAAAAAAATTGAATTACTCAATGGATGGCCTTTTTTCCATTGAAGGAACAAACTATTACAACTCATCATTTTCTTTTGATTATATTTATATTTTTGAATGTGATAACATTCAAAGTAATTATATTTTGATCAGTCTTTATTTCTATAATTCCTCTTTCTTAATATTCAGTTTTAGTCTACAAATATAAACTTTATATTGTAATTATGAACATCATATTTTCTATCTATAATTCTTTAAAATGACATTCCCATGTTTGCATTTGGAATGAGAATACTACCATGCAAAAATTGACCTTTGGGGAAATGTAATTCCACAATAAACATGATAATTTATTTTCCATAGTCTGCTAGTCAGCCAAAGGTTTAGGAAGTGATGTTCAAGACATCAAGGTCAAGGGCTCTGATCATCCAGTAGCATTTTTCTTTTCCTGATTTCTGACTTGGTTACAGATCTATTCCAACATTTTGCAAAGTACTTGCTATTGATTAAGAGAGGAGCTAGGTGAGGGAGCATGTTTGCCTTAATACCATTTATCCCCATTCATTTGTATCAGCAACCATCATATGTCCTGGAAAAAAGAAAAGTTTTTTTTTTTTTCTCACAAGTTTGTTGCATATTTCTGAATAATTTTTATCACATGTTCACATTAGCACATGGGCTTGACAGCAAATATTTAACTTTAGGATCTGAGTTACTACTCTCATATATTTCTTTTTTAATATGCTTCATAATTCTTTCCATACTAGCAAACAGAAGAGGAAATATATATATGCAAAGAAACCATCTTCTTGTGTTTGTTTAGACTCCCTTTATTGTCCAATATAGTAGCCCCTAACCACATGTAACTATTTAAATTTAAATTAATAAAAACTAATTAAAATGAAAAATCCAGTGCCTCCATTCATATGCCCAGGACTTTCCTGATTGTAGCACTGAAAACCTCACATCCAGGAAGTCTCTCAGTCCCAGGCAAAACAGAATGGTTAGTCATCCTAGTCTTAGATATCTGAGTTCCCTCTCCCTACTCCCAAGACATCCTCCGTCTTTATCATTCTTTTCCCATGAAGTACTCAGCTTCTCTCCTTTCTCCCCAATTTTCCCCTTTGGAACATCCAATTTCTCTCAGGCAATAAATTCCTTTTCTCATATTCCAAGAAACCTGGACATCAGCCCCATCAGGCTTTAGCATAGACCACTGGTCTTTCAATCCTGGCTGCCACATTAGAATCATCTGGAGACCTTTTAAAAAACAACTGAGGGTTGCTGGAGTGGAGGGGAGTAGGAGAGTTGGGGTGGCTGGGTGATGGACATTGGGGAGGGTATGTGTTGTAATGAGCACTGGGAATTATATAAGACTGATGAATCATAGACCTTTACCCCTGAAACAAATAATACATTATATGTTAATAAAAAAGAAATCAAGTGTTTGAAAAAAACAAACAAAAAAAAAACCCCCCAAAATATCAGTGCCCCCACCTCCAGAGGTTGTTTTTTTTTTCTTTCCTTTTTTTAAAGATTTATTTATTTTTATTTTAGAGAGATAGTAGAGAGAGAGCATGCAAGCAGGGGTAGGGGAAGGGTGTAGGGAGAGGGAGAGACTCTCAAGCAGATTTCCTGCTGAGTGCAGAGCCAATGTAGGACTTGATCTCACGACCCTGAGATCGTGACCTGAGCCTAACACTCAACCGACTGAGCCACCCAGTCATCCCCAGAGGTTTTGATTTAATGAGTTTGATAAGCTGAATCTTGCTTCTACTGGTTGAGACTGCTGATTGTTAAACTTTCAGGAATTTTGTAAGCCAGTTGTTAAATACAGCCATAATTAAAAATTATATAAACTTAAAATTAAGTAGGTCACATTAAAATCAAAGGTAATAGTCTTCACTTCCTAATTATTTTATTACGTTTTACTGTTACCTATTCTCTTTGAAGTCATTTATGCCTGTCATGTTTGTTTCATAGAAACACTATATGATGGTGTGCTACTGTGCATCTCTTCCAAAGTTTGTATTCAGTGATGGCTTGTAGTAACTTGAACTTGTTGGGAATACATGTTTGGACTGATGGAAAAGAAACTGAGATCTGTAATTTTCTAAACCAGTTCTTATGTCTGAAATAGCCAGATAGTAGTGATAAAAACGGACTAGCAAAGCATATCGCAAATATTCAGAACTGCAAATTTTAGAATCGAGACCTTTTTCTGTACTTCCTCCTCGGTGGGGGAGAACTTGCTAATTCCAGCTGAAGAGATACTGAGCAAAGGCCACAGCATGCCATCCTTTGTTAATTCCAGAATCCGTTTGTATCTGTTGTCTGGCCAAACTCTGGTTTCCCGTGGGCTGTGGGTGAGCTGCCCTTCCTTGAAGCAACATCTCCAACACAGTTACCTCTGACTTACTGTGGCCAAGACCCTATCTTCTGTGGTTATGAACAACTTTATCCCACCTTACAGTGTGTCCTATGTAGAGTATTAGATGATATATCAATAAAATGTTTTCTATTTATAACTCAAAGGCATGGCTCTAGTGAAACTTACTTATCCCCTTTTCTATCCATTTTGATCTTAGAAAAGTGCCTGATTAATAAAATAAATTGGGATGATCATCTTTCTAATTTTCTGTTTGATGATATTGATACTGATATTCACTCTGTTGAATATGTATGTATATGTATATTACACATCTATGTTTATATACATATGCACATATGTGTGTGTGTGTGTGTGTATGTATATATATACACACATATCCATGGCTCAGCTTTAAGAACCAAAATAATGGATGGTGTTGTCATCATCTTCTAGATCAGTGGCTCTCAACTATGGGCTGAAGGCCAGGTATGATTCAAAATCATGGTTGTCTTCTCCTCTTCACTGAGGTTCTCATCCTCATTGTATCTTTCATTGATAACTTAGAAATAGGAGCTTTTGGTTAGTGACTAAGGTTAGCTTTTGGTTAGCTTTTGAGGTCGCCTCTCAAAAGGACATACTCTGTATTCCATATAGCCTCAGTCCCATTTGTGCAATTACATGGCATGGTACAGTACTGAGTTTAAATGGACATAAAAACAAAAAGACTGAGAACAACCTAAATGTCCATCCCTGGTATGGGAAAATTTCCTGTAAAAAAATTGAAAACATAACAATATTAGGGAAATTTTAAGAAAAAGTTATGTCACTCATAATCACGTTATTTATTATATGACCATTCTCACTTGTGCATATCATTTCCATATGCATTCATTTGCTCTATGTAGTCATAACCACAGTGTGCATTTTTTTTTTTTTTTTTAATTCTGGTACACTCTCTTGCCTTCACATCATAGGACCTTTTTGGCTGATGAAATCTTACTGTTTTTAGCTTTAGTAGTCACACTCAGTGTGCACCATAATTTATGAAGTCCTTCAGGTTTTTGGAGTTATTGCTTACTAGTCCAAACCTTCACTTACCTTACATCCTCTGTCAATACTACACCGCCCCCGCCCCCCCAGCCACTTTGAGAACATCTGCTATAGCCATGGCTCAATGACTTCTGCTTTTCCAGTCCTGTTCTTCCTTGCAACTCCCCCTCTTCGTCCCCATGGAGATGCTGTCAGAAATGTTAGCGTTTCCCTGGGAGAGCAGGAAAGAAAGGACTGATAGGAAAGGGTATTAGCAAAGCTTTAAGGGATGGTGGGTGGAAAAACTAGAAGGAAGTTGGGTGATTGTGACAGAGAATTGATGAACAAGAATGTGGGATGTATGAGTGGGTGGGAGACAGCACAGGGGAAACGAGGGGAAGATGGGTACAGGGAAGTCTTTTCACTAGAATTAGTGCTTTTCACACACAATTGGTCAATAATGCTCCGTGGGTTGCCTTCCATTTGCTGTCAGTGGAGGCAGATCCAGTTTCTGTGAGGTCTAGAGCTTATATAATTTGGGGGGAGAGGAACCTATTTAAAATTAGGCCTGAAAGTGGATATTTATTTAGATTGAGAAAGTAAATCACAACAAATTCATGGAGGGTTGGAGATTTAGACCCTTTCTTTTGAGACTTTTTTTTAGTTTTTCTCAGAAGTACTTACATGGAAATACTCCTTAAATGCTAGCGAGTTGCTGGCTTCCCCTCCCTACTTATAATAATCTATAGCTCCCAGCAACTTCGATACTCTCGGGGCTGGAGCAAGTAAGGGTCCTGAAGCTTAATCGTCATTAACTTTACATGAATCCACTCTGGTTGTGAGCAAGGGAAATATGGTGGAATCTAGTAA